GGCCATGTCAGATGCTGCCTTTTACAGGACTGAGCTACCTGTTAGGTACTACCTAGCAATCCTCAGTTGATAACTGCCTATTTTGGGCTTGGCTTTGCATGGGAGGGGCTACATTGCAAACCAAGGCCCGTTGCTACAAAAGACCTCAAGCACACCAAGACCTGCTGCCACTTGTCAGCTACCTGAAATGCTCAGCCACTGAAAGAGCCCTGGGTGGCATGCGAATTGGGTGAAGCACCACCTGGGTTAAGGGCAAAGCAAGTTTTAAAGAAAGCTATGAGTTATACCTCAGACTTTGTTTACAAACCATATGATGTTAAGTATGTTTATTTGACCAACATAAAATGTTTTTGTAGAAATTAAATTTGGTTTTATTTTCTCTCTCTCTCTCTCTTTTACTTTTTATTGATTTATTGGGGGTGACACACTGATTAATAAAATTATATAGGTTTCAGGTATACAATTCTATAATAAATCATCTATATATTGTATTGTGTGTTCACAATATTTTTCTCTCTCTCTTAAGACAGGAATAAAAGAAGGGAAATATTACATCTCATTGGTAAGCAAGTTTTAACTGAAACAAATAGGTAATCTGAATAACATCTAGTATAGAATCCTTCCATTTATGAGTCATTTGAAGCACTGTCTGATGGCTCACTATTAACTTTTTAGGGTGAGAGTTCAGTTAATAAAATAATATGAGAGATGCAAATTACTGTTAAAATTAGTGAGCATTAAATTGATTAATTTTCCTCTCGTTTAAAGGCTATTTCTTCTGGCTCCTAATAACACAAAGCTTGATAGAATATTTCACAGATCTCTCATAAAGCAGATGCTTAGCTATTCCAAAATCTGTTTTGGTAACCTATGGTAGAAGGCAACAGGTAAGAATCCTAAACACATTCTGGGTACAATATACAAATTATCATTAATCAACCCCATTTATTATTGTTTTAGGACTATTTGATTATACAAAGAAATCAGATTCAGGGTATGATTTCTATATTGTGTATCTATATCTGCTGTTTTATCTGTATCAGCAACTTTTATCTATATCTGTACTTTTTATCCATATCTGCACCTTTTATCTATATCTGCTGTGACAAATTACCACCAAATAAAGTTTTTTTCCTGGTGCATATGCTAATTATTATGCTGAAATTTAAAAAATAGCTATTTTAGTGAAAAAAAAAAACAACCTTGGAAAGGCAAGAGTTCTGGAAAGAAAAAGAGAATGCAATGTGTGAAGAAATAAAAAATATATAAAGAAAAATGAGAATGCTAGATAGAGAAAAAAGAATGTGAAAATGAATAGGAGAAATATACAAATATAAATGTAAAATATAAATTCATAAAACTGGTTCTTTTGTACCAAATCAGTTGATGGGTTGGATGAACTATCTCAGGGAACAATTCTGGAGGTATCCCCACTGACCATGAGATAGAACCATAAGCTTTCACAGAAATATGAATGTCTAGATCCTAGAATACTACACTGGGCATAGACTGCTGTTACTATTGATCTGGTGAAAATGTGGATTAATGAGGCATGAGAATTGAGAATTATACCTGTACTAGAGGCCTGGTGCACGAAATTTGTGCATGGGGAGGGGGGGCTGTCCCTCAGCCCGGTCTGTGCCCTCTCGCAATCTGGGACCCCTTGGGGGATGTCCAACTGCCGGTTTAAGCCCGATCCCTGTAGTCGGACATCCAGCAGTCAGACATCCCTCTCACAATCTGGAACCGCTCACCCCTAACCTCTCACCTGCCTGCCTGCCTGCTCACCCCTAACCAACTCACCTGCCTGCCTGCCTGCTTGCCCCTAACCACTCACCTGCCTGCCTGCCTGCTCACCCCTAACCAACTCACCTGCCTGCCTGCCTGCTTGCTCCAAACCACATTCCTGCCTGCCTGCTCAATGTGTGTCATAGTAACCGGTCATTCTGGTCATTCCAATCATTCCGCCATAATGGTAGCTTAGGCTTTTATATATATAGATTAGAGCAATTGAGAAAAAAAGACGTCTTATATCACACACCCATCAATGTGAATATGCATACAAACAGGCATACATATGCTGGAAGGGAGGAAGAAGCAACTCTGTTGTTATCAATCTGCATTAATGCAAAACATTGGCTTGCATACCTGAAAAAAGAGCATTCTCTTACCTGAAGCTCCTGGGCAGCAGATGGGGTGAACAGAGAAACAAATTAAAAGGTCTATTTAAAATAATGATATTAAGGACACTAAAGTGCTTTTCTCTTAGTTTTAACACAATGAACAGTGCTAACAATATATACTTCAGTAGATGCAACTTAAACAAAGGTTAAGGTATATAAACCCAAGGAGAAAATCAACATCAAGCCAGAAATTCCCAACTTCATAGTGGTAGATGATGGAATTGGGGCAATAAGTCACAAATACAATTTCTGAAACAGCTTTCCCCTTATGTGGCCAATTTTCTGTCCTCAACACTTTTGTGGGGGGGATGACTAAGTATTTGTGAGAAAATTGTGAAATGTCATGGGAAAATGTATCAGGGTCATCAACTGGAACAAAAAGATGGTGTCACCTGATCCTGCTCACCAAGAGAAAGGTGTGTGTAATCATGGTCTCTTCACTGCTGATATGCAGTTAACAGCAAAGACACAGCACCTTGCAAAGATTCTGAAAATTTCAAGGCCAAACCCTTACCAATATTAGGCAATAAGTTATGAGGCAATTTAATGAAAAGAAGTAGATGTAACCAAAAAACTGACTTTTTTGATAATTGTGTTTTTATCTAGAAGGTAAATATGCTTAACTTTCTCAGATGAGGAAAAACTGAAATTATTCACCAATGACAGTATAAAGGAATGGACATTGAGACACTGCTAGAAGCTTTATTTAGGTTACCTCACTAAATGCTCATATCTACTCTATAGACAGGTATTATCATACCCATTGAGTACCTGAGAAAGCCAAGAGAAATTGCACGCTCATGGTCATACAGTGAGTGAGGTCAGTGGCAGAGAGCTGTAATTCAAAGTTGGACCTTGCCTGGCTCCAAAGCCTTGCATTTTTTACGCTACCCCTCATAAGCATGGCAGCATCCCTTATTGTATCTTAGTGAGATGTGGTTAAAACTTTTTCACATGGTTTATTTTATTTGGGTACATATATACTTTCATACTCTTGAGAGTCTATGAAATCTTAATTATATAAGATAAAGTCATCACTGTGATATAGTTCTTGTTGGCTAGGACAACATAGAGAACACCAGTAGTATTCATTACTTTTTGTCCCTGACACACATTAGTGTCATAGTTATTTTCAAGTGATGGGCATCTCAGATTTTCCTTCCTTTATTTTGATAGGAATTAAATTTGTGAGTTGTTCTGAAACTGTGTCTGATTCTCCTGTTAGGTCATATTATATAACATGTTTTTCTTTGATTGACTTTAGAAAATGATGTGTGCCTTGCAAGGTCAATTTTTCCCTCTTTAGTTTTATTTTCGGAGTGAAGAGGGTGCCTGAGCTTGAATTCTAGCCTCGGAGAGAAGATGGGGTTAGCTGTTCAGGCCAGGGAACTCATGTTGTGACATTCCATGTAGCTCTGGCTCAGAGATACTCAAAACCATTGTATTTCATGGAAGACTTAAAACAATCATCACCACAGTTCGAGATTGATATCTTTATTACTAATTGTGATGAACAGTCAGAAAATTCTGCACTACTTTCTACGGGTTCTAGAACAACTCAAGGTGAAAAGCTGACACTTATTTTAAAGTTGCTTTGCAGTAAGTGCCTTTAGCTCTTTACATACTGGGCTGCAAAACTTGTGTTCAGGAAAAGATGGGTAAAGAAAATACTGTTCCTTCTGAGGATGTGATTCTCCCTTGCTGGCACAGATATCTAGGGTCATCAGTGGCCAAAGGGACAAAAGCAGATAGCCCCTTGGCCTCACCTTGATATAAACGAGTTGGTCAGCAGTCACCCTTTTAGGGAAGGTACGAAGTTGATTAAGGTAAAAAGTTGGTTAAGTTAGGAGGTGCCTTTCCACTATAGGAGATAATAAACTTTGAATCTGGACTTCTGCTTTAACTTTAAGTATAGCAGAAAGCCCTTTCTTTGGGAAATAGACTGTGTACAGTTACATGTGAGCTCAAGCATGTTGACTAACACCAGGAGCTGACTTGGTACCAGGGGTATCCGGCATTTTCACACATACCAATCTCCCTTTAGTGAATTTTGTTTCCACCTTTTGAGGCAAAGGATTACAACTCAACTGGAATACCCCCCAAACTATCAAAATGAGAGCAAAGGGATGATGTGTTGCCTTCCAATCCCAGATTTCAAAAATATGATTCATAACTGAAAGCATCTTATGACCATACTTGTCATCCAAATACACAAATCTGCCTTTGCCTATTGAGACTTGAGTTAAGCTGCTCCAAGTGTGGGGAAAACCTGCCACCCATCTACATCAGAGCCAGAAACTCTCCTGTGCCCTCCATCCTGTTTTGAGTTCTAATGACCTAATGAGGCAGCACAAAGGCCCCAGAGGCCTCAGGCTCCTGGCTTATTTTGTCGTAGGCAAGCTTCCAAGTAATGGAATTAGAGCAATTTCATGTTTATAAGCATTAAATGCTCTGCTTGTTTTAGCTAGGTACCAGCAAACAGGTTCAGAACTTGAATATTTTGTGTGTGTGTGTGTGTGTGTGTGTGTGTGTGTGTGTGTGTTTAAAGCTCACTGTTGGACTTACACACAGCCTTTGTATGGTCATCAGCAGTCAAATTATGGCCATTTAAAAATAATCTGGCAGCATCTGCTGTGGGCTCAGACAGGAAGGGTGTGGTAACTTGTGCCAAAGTGAAGCTGCTGAACTTGGAATACGTTGACTTAAAATAAAGTTTACAGCTTTTCAATGAAAGACACAGTTATAAAAATTCATTATTTAGTAGGTAAAAAGAAACTTTGTTAGTCAAGTGGGTTATTTTTAGAGAAAGTACTATACCTCTCCGTCCTCTAGTTCTACATCCAGGAAATCGAAGTCTCTAAAGACTCTGAACTGTTGCTCACTGTTTGTGTCATCCATGTTCTCCGGTTCTCGGGCACCATCCTCGGAAGAGACCAAGCTTGTCTGATGCTCCAGCAGGTCCAAGTCCCCACATGATGAAAAAATTACCTACAAATCCAAAAAGTCCCGTCCTGAGAAACCAACTCCCTCTGGTTGTTTGTGCTACAAAAAAACCCCATCACTGGCTCTTCATCACACTGTTTCCAGTACACACCTAATTCCTCAGGCAGATATTTTTAGGATGTTATTATTTATGTTGGACAGGTGCCTTCAGATTAAAATTAGTGCAAAGACACAAGTTCATGCACCAGGAAAATGTTTCAAGAGTCAAATGGCTGCTTACTGGATGAATACTCGACCCCACCTGGATGTGTGTGTGTGTGTGTGTGTGTGTGTATAGGGTCTTTTTGCTGGGTCATCTTAATAGAACTTTGTAGAAATAATAAGCTACAAATGAAGCTAAATGTTTTGTTATTCAGCCTTTCCTGAATACAGATTTATATTAAATAAAGTGAACAGGATTCTTATTTAACTGTTACAACATCCAGTCATCCTTGAAAAGTAGGCAATCATTTAGAAGAATTTAAATACACAAATGTCTATCAAAAGTAAAAGAATGAGAGGATTTACAGGTACTTTTTTTCTCCAGTATTTCAGGACAGTCATTATTTCTCATGTGTGTACATGATACAGTTTGTGCAGGTATTACGAATGGGCATGTAAGACAGACAACACAGCGGGTCAGTCAACTAGTGAGAGACAAGATGAGAATTCTGGCTTCCTCAGTTGTGCTGCTGCTCTTACTTGTAACATCCTCCAGGTAAACATTTCCAGCCAGAAAGGCCTCAGCACAGAAACAGGAGGTTCAGCTCTGAAGGAGGAAGTGCCACCTGCTAAGGCAGTAAGAAATGGCCCTGGCTGGTAGGGCTGCATTGCAAAGGCCAAGTGCTCCTGTTTCTCTCCCTTGTGAGCTTGGAGGCTCCGCCTGCTCTAGCCACTGTCATCTTGTTCCCTCTGCCATAAATAATGTCACAGGGGTAGCAGCAAACCCACTAATTACTAACCAAAATGGTGACTTCAATGGAGGCCAAGCTGAGCTAATAACTGGCTAGGGCACATTGCCAGACAGTCAAAAAAATACCTGGTAAAGTCAGACTCTGAGATTTTTATTGCTTTTGCTACAACAGATTCACATACACAATTTGAATTTTCTAAATTTTAGAAGGGCTTCAGAAGCTAACTTCTAATACTTTAATTATTCATATATTTTGAAACCTGATGGCATGGTTTTAAAAAACTAACATCAGTGGAAATTTACATGAGAAAAAACATGATAACATATCATTATTTTTACCTTTATTGTGAATAAAATAATAACATCACAATAAGAGTTGTGTGTACAGAATAAAATTATATCCAAAAGGAATGTGTGTCATAGTTGGTGGTGCAGTAAGCTGGGCATTTTTATTTAAAAAATTAAGAAGTTTTAAAAATTGAAAGTAACTGAGTATTTATTTACAGAAAACCTCGAACAAATAGCCAACAAAATCTTTCATTGTTTCTGAATTAAGATGAGACTAACCATGCTGTGGGGAGAAATGATGTAGGGGTTTGATCTAGATGGTAGATATTATACTTGTAATTCATAGGTAAATCTTCTAAACTTGTTTTGACCAAAGGTAAAAACAGACCAAAGTAAAAAAGAAATGATACCAAAATACATGTGATATGTGCTAGAACTTACTGATGGATTTTTGCTCAATCCTACTTCTTGGCCACACAGAGAAAGGACATGTACCAACTTCTCTTTTGTCCTCTTCTGGAAAAGAAATACACAGGCAGATTATAATCATGGCATCTTGTGACCAGATCTGCTCTTATACATAGGGCTATCATACTGGAAATGTGACCAGTGAGAACTGAGATGTAAAATGCACACAGACTTGGCATGAAAAAAGAATGTAGAACATTGAATTAATAATTGTGAAATATTGATTACATGTTGAAATAATATTTTAGACATATTTGATTAACTAAAATATGTTATAAATTCATTTTACCTGTTTGTTTTAACTTTTTAAAAAAGGTGATTAGAACATTTAGAGTGAGGGTCACCTTCTATTTCTATGATACAGTACTGATCTAAGTTTTCCCAAGGTGGGGGATCAGGGTCTGAAAATCAACCTCAAGATTCTTTAGTAGATATTCATCCCTTTCCTTTATAATCTTTCTTATATGCTACAACTTTCAGCATTAGCAATGCTTTCCTTAAACCTAAATTAAATCTATTATGTTAACAGCACAACCTATTTTCCTTAAAGAGGAGACTAACTTTACTTTGTGCAGAATTAAAAAAACTCAATTATTTGCAAGCTGTATTAAATATTTTCAATTTATTTTTCCTAAAGTTAAACAACTTTAATTCCTTTTTTTGTTCTCCATACACTTCATGTTTTAGCACCTTAAGCAAGCAGATTCTTCTGTAAGACATCACATTTTCCAATAACACAGATTAACTAGGTCTCAGAATGAATGGTAGTTTGAGAATAAAATTAAAGAGTGTTCAGAGCCTTAAAAATATTCATGTACTCCAGAATTGCTTTCAAAGCAATCTTCCTGATCTTTCTAGAATGATCTTTCCCTTTTTAATCTGATTTACACTTATGTGGTGACTGCTAGGAGGCCAACGTCACTCATAGACTTTCTCCTTAATGGAACTCAGTTTGCTGCATCCTTCTTTCCAAGTTATAGAAGAGACACTCAATACAGTGTCTTCTCAGTGTTGAAAGATGTTGAAGCAAGGTAAGAGATTTGTAAGCTCTTTTCCTAAGTTTTAGTGGGAATTTTATAATCTCAGGAAGAAATTGATATTGAGGAACATGGAATGGGCTGTGCATTTCTTTCTGTTTGCCAAATCCCCAATGAAGTATGGTAGGCTCCCTATTCAACAACTCAGTGGACACTCACTGATGACCAGCTGTGTTCCAGCAGGTACTGCTACGTGATCCATTTCCTCAACCTTTAGGAGTGAAAGTTGAGTCCTACTGGGTGAACAGTATTTTTCCTGCCTAGTGCTCACTTGGTCTTCATTTTATCTTGGGGACAGCTGCTATCCCTGTAAGTGGGGTTCTGCCTCCCTGACATAAGCTGCAAATCCTTTTTCTTTCTTTTTCATTATAACTTAAAAATTATTTAGTTTTTAATCTTTATTGTTGAGAATATTACAAATATTCCTCCCTTTCACACCCACCCCCCTTTCCCTCCTCCCACCCTGCCCCAGGCCTTCACCACCCTATTGCTTATGTCCATGGGTAATGCACATATGCATATAAATTCTTTGGTTTATCTACTCTCCCACCCCCACCCCTGACTTCCCTCTGAGATCTGTTAGTCTGTTCAATGTTTCCATGCCTCTGGTTCTATTTTATTCATCAGTTTATTTTTATTCATTAGACTCCTAGTTCATTCATTTTGATTTTTAGGTTAAGTTGTTGATAGATATGTATTTATTGCCATTTTATTGTTCATATTTTTTATTTTTTTAAAAAATTTTCTACTTAAAAAGACCCTTCAACATTTCATGTAATACTGGTTTGATGGTGATGAACTCCTTAAGCTTTTTCTTGTCTGTGAAGCTCTTTATCTGACCTTCAATTCTAAATGATAGCTTTTCTGAGTAGAATAATCCTGGTTGTAGGTTCTTGCTTTCCATCACTTTGAATATTTCTTGCCACTCCTTTCTGGCCTGCAAAATTTCTGTTGAGAAATCAGCTGATAGTCATATGGGTCCTGCCTAACTAAACTGCTTTTCTCTTGCTGCTTTTAAGATTCTCTCTTTGTCTTTAACCCTTGGCATTTTGTGCAGTTATTCAGTGTCTGGTAAGTTAATGTTCAAGAAAAAATATCAATTTCCATTAAAATGTTCTATTATTTTATGTTAATGATTACTTATTTATTTTAGCCCTTCTATTCAGCATGTCTCTATTGAAATAAACCTATGTTTCTATGAAAATTGAAGCTTTTGTTTTTTTTGCGGCCCACATAAACTTAAACCTTGTTTATTTGGCCCATGTTAGCCTTTGAGTTTGACATGCTTGCTTTAAGAGGATAGGACTAGTGAATCAAATCAACAAAGTGTCAGACTCTAATCCCATGTAAGGAGCTGTTCACATAGAAAATGGGTTCCCTTGTAATGCTGTTAAGAACCTTACCACTGTTGTCGATGCCCAACGGCCAAGGTCAGGATGATGAGTGGAGGAATCCCTTATCTCATGGACCATTGGCTCAGTCAGTCCCCAGGTTCCCCTTCAATCCTGCAAGTCCAGGATTCTATACCTGAGAATACTGGGGTCTCTTCCAGCTCACAGGAACAAGGACATTGGAGTTGGAGCCTGATGAGGTTGAGGATGTGCTCCGGGTGACAGCCATAGTCCTGGGCTTCCCATCTCGGCCAGAAGAGTTCTGCAGTTCATCATATCGCCTCCCAATGATTGGCGTCTTAGAAAGAACACAAAGCATATGTTCTTCTATCTCATTAACACTTCTTTGGTGTATGGAATTGCTCTACCCTGCAGCAACCAAGAACTGCTTATTTGATTAAAAATTACAGAAGTTCAATGTTACAAGCAGGCTCATTTTCCTGATGTTCAAATACATATTCTGAGTCATTTTGCATCTTCAATATGCTCCCACTCTCTTTAGCAGCTGAAAACAAATCCAACTGGTTGTTCTTAAACATTCTTTAGAAACCACTGATAAAGGAAAACATTCAGGAAAACAAAGTCAGTTGTTAGGTGTTTAAGCTTGAAAGAATTTCTTGTAGTCATAACAAGAGACCGAAAGTCCTGCTCTAGCTGGGTTGCTCAGTGGTTAGAGTGTTGACCACTGGACTGAAGGGCTTTGGGTTCAATTTCAGTCAAGGGCGCATACCTCGCTTGGTTGCAGGCTCAATTTCTGCCCCAGTCAGGGCATGTGAGGGAGTCAACTAACCAATGTGTCTCTCTCACATCGATGTTTCTCTCTCTCTGTCTTTCCCTCTCCCTTCCACTCTTTCTGAAAATAAATGGGGGGAAAATATCCTCAGGTGAGGATTAACAACAAGAAAAGACAAAAAGTCCTTTCCTTCTTCCAACCTTTATATACTAGATTATTTAAACATTTATTTAAGTTATTTATATCTTTTCAATTATGTAAACGAATGAGGTCAGGGCCAGGTACTTGGGCACCACTTTAGAAATTTCATTTCCTGAGAGTCTTGGAGTGGTTGTGGGCAGCGTGTCCCAGGCTTTAGTGCCAAAGAGGTGTCCTGCACAGAGATCAGTTCATGGGCCTACACCTGGGGGCAGCAGAAGCCAATAGGTGGTTCTACACCAAGGCCCATCATTTTGGAATAGCTGGGTCTCTTGGGTTTGCAGCTGACTGGCTGCATGTTTTCTGTACCTCTTTGGAGCAGAATAAGCTGAAATCAAAGAGTAAAAATAGCTTTTCCCTTTTAGCAATGTGAAAAATGCACAGAGTGTAGTTTCAGCTTTGGGGGGCTTATGGGTCATGGGGTAAGAGACACAGGAAAGTGAAGTATTTTTACATGTTAGAGTAAAATGGTTAAGTACAGATCTCCAGAGGGCTTGTTCCTGAACTGGCAGGTAAATCTATTATCTGCCTTCTCTTTTTCCCCTAACTCTTTAGCTTGGTTCACTCATCCTCCCACCCCCCATTCACACACTCCCCTCTCCCCAAAGGTAAGAATTTAGATAATTTTGCAGTTTAAATAGCAGTATGGCTCGGGGAAACTATAAAGGCAAATTCTGTATTCCTGCGAATCTCAGTCATTAGCTGGTCTGGGAACAAGGTCGCCAATATAGAGAAAAGACAGGACAGTTGTCAGATAAGGAATGAGTTAGGTTTAAAATGCTGAAGATCATTCCTTTTATAGTTAACTTTTTAGAAATCAGTTTTTATATAACCAAGACTATCTTCTATTTTTAAAAGCTGTCAATTGAGAGCCCCAGTGAATATGATACTCCACATGTTCTTAAAAACAATCTAAGTCAGTCGTTAGAAGGAAGTCTCCATTGGAAGTAAACATAGTTATTTTCTCTTGCTCAAGGTACATACTTGTGATCTTTTGTACTATATATTAATGCTAAAGTTTACAGAAACAGTTAACATACCTCTGAAATGTCAAAGTGAAAGTCCAGAGTTTTCCCTGGTAATTCCTTAGAAGCACTGGTCCATACTCGATGTATTTCTATCTTTGACAGGTCACTGTGCTGGTAGGAAGGCAAAATGAGGCTGGCCGACCGAGAAACCACCAGCTTCAAGATATTCAGAGCTTCTCTCCAGTGAACACTCTGAGGGAAATAAAACATTCAATGGTTAATAGTAATTTCATTTTTAAAAACTGATAATGCTAGTTATGGAAATGTCTCATGATCATTTAGAATTCATGGATCTAAAACAGTGCAGGAAATTCATAAAAATGCTATTTATATAGAAGATGACCTACATTTAGGAAACAGGCAAACAAAAAAAGACCACTTTTGTTCATATTCAAATAAATGCATTTTAAAATAAAGTACCATTTTTGCTCATGTGGCGCCTCTTTAATCTGAAAAGCAAGAAGCAAAAAAACAAAACAAAACCCCACAAACAATCCTGAATGCATTTGTGCTACTGACCACTCACTCTCAAAATTCTCCCACCCCCAGTTTCCAGTATTCCTTAGTCCTTCTCCTACTTCTCAGGCTCTTCCCACCCATTTGTTCCTGGGCACATGGTCTCTGCCCTCAACGCTTCTCTTTCACTCCATATCTTCCTCATGACCTAACCCAGGAATCTGGGTGCCATTCTTAACTCCTTTCTGTCCCTCCCTTCTGATAATGTGTTTCCTCCTCACCATTCCGAATTGCTGGCACTGGCTCAGTTAAATCTCTCCACCCTCTGCCTGGACTATTTCAATGACCTCTTAACTGGTCTTCCTGCTGGCAGTCTCTACTTATGCCCATCAAACCCATCCCAGCTACTGTGGTCTTTCTAGAAATCTTCGGACCATGCCACCTCCCTGCATACGTTCCTTCTATGCCCCCCTCTGGTGGACTCTGAGCAGGACGTACAGGGTGATCTCCCTTAGGCCACCCCTGGAGCTCCCCAAAGCAGGCCAGGTCCCTTAGCCTCTGTGCCTTTACTCATGCTAGTCCCTTGTTCTGGAATGACCTTCCTCTCTTTATTGGCTCACAGACTCCTATCTTCCAATAAAACTCACTTTGTTTTACCATCTTTGTCTCCCTGACAATCCCCAGGCTGACTGAAGTCCTTTTCCCACAAAAAAATTTTTGAACATAGGATTGGAGGAAGATGGCTGCCAACGGGAAGGCAAACTGCAAGATAGTGTGAGAGGGAGAGAATGAAAGGAGAGCGTGTGGACGTATGAGGAGTGTATATTTGTGGGTGAGGGACAGCTATACTCCAAGGGACTGTTGGGGACTGCCAGACTGAGCTCCCCTGACCCGGGCAGCCTCCACGGCTGCTGAAATCTCTCCCGGAGCGACCAACTCTGTCATAGAGACCGCACCATCTTGAAGGGGAGAGTGACTGTTATCAGAAGCCTATACAGCCCGGATCTCTACCACCACAACACCCGGCAACCAGCTGCGAACCCAGGAACACTGGATCTCTAGCAGCATAAATACGAGAACTTGGATGAGCTCTGCATCTTCTCACGGAAAGGTCAGATTTCGCCTAGGAAAAGGTGAGGTCTGTGATCCAGGCAGGAGAGAGAAACGCATGAATGGGATCTAGAGGTTTAGAGAAGTCTGCGCCCCACAAAACCTGGGCACATGCCCTTGACTGGAATCAAATCTGGGACCTTTCAGTCTGCAGGATGATACTCTATCCACTGAGCTAAACCAGCCAGGGCCTTTAGAAGTTTATTTATGTATTTTGGTGCTCCTGTATTAGATGCATATTTGTTTACCAGAGTTATATCTTCCTGTTGAATTGCTCTTTTTAGTACTATAAAGTGGCCTTCTTTATCTCTTGTTATGGCCTTCACTTTGAGGTCTAATTTATGAGGTATAAGTATTGCTACCCCAGCTTTTATTTCATTTCCATTCACCTGAAAACCCTTTTTCTATCCCTTCACCATCAGTCTGTGTGAGTCCTTTGTTCTGAGATGGGTCTCCTATAGACAGCAGATATATGGGTCATGTTTTCTTATCCACTCAGCTACTCTATATATTTTTATTGGGGCATTTAATCCATTTACATTTAAAGTTATTATTGATAGGTACTTGTTTGTCACCATTTTTATTCTTTATGCCTGTTTTCCTTCTTCCCTTCCTATTTATCCTTTTTACAGCAGACCCTTTAGCATTTTTTGCATTTTCTTTTCGTTATCAGGGATGTTTTCTGTCAAAATTTCTTCAAACAGGTTTTCTATTCCTTGCTCAGTTTCTTCTCCTTCTGATACCCCTATTATGTGATGTTGTTTTGTTTTGTGTTGTACCAAAGTTCCCTTAGGTTCTCCTCCTGTTTTTTAAGTTTTTTTCCCTAGATGCTGCTCTTCTAGGGTATTTTTTCCTACCTTGTCTTCTAGCTCACTGATGCGGTCCTCTGCTTCTTCTAGTCTACTGTTGATGCTTTCTATTGAGTTCTTTATTGCAGTGATATCATTTTTCATTTCTTCGTGTTTCTTCTTTATTTCCTCTTGGTTCTTAAACATATTGTTGAATTTGTCTTCCAACCTTTTCAGTATCCTTATGAACATTGCTCTGAATTCTTTCTCTGACATATTGCTTGTCTCCATTTCATTTACTTCCTTTAATAGCGGTACCTCCTTTTCTTTCATATGAGGCTGTTTCTTTGTTTCCCCAAGGTTGCTCCCCTCAGGGTGTCTGGTTATGTATCTCTCTCTCTCCTGTGTTTACTTAAAGGCCTAAAATACAACACAACAAGACACACAAAACACAAATGTATTCACAATACTAATAACCACAAATAAAGGTGACCATGAGAGAAAAGAGAATTAGGGGATAAAAAAGAGTGCAAAAATGATATTGAGAAAGGGAAAAAATGTAAGAGAGAAAAGCAAGAGAAGAAAAAAAGAAAGGGAAAAATATATATGTATATGGGGAGAAAACCCCAATAAAACAACAACTAAGCCCAAAAATGCAAACAACAAACACCCAGATGAATGTGAGGAGGCAGAACTTTCTCTAGGCAATATCTGACCTTTCCATCCACCAATTTCCTCACCAGCTGTGTTTAATTCGCCAATTCCAGGTGGGTGTTGTTCGATTCAGCTATTCCTTCTGTCTGCTCTGTGAGAAGGCACAAGATCCATCCACATTTTCAGCACTGCTTTGTCTCCCCCTGGACAGACTTTTTATGTGCTTGCAGTCAGGAGGCTGGAGTCCTAGTGTTCATGGGTTTGCAGCTGGTCCCTGAGCATTGTGTTGTAGGGTTCTGGGAGGTATTTGAGGTCTCCTTGGTTGAAGGTAAGGCTGGGCTTCTGATCACAGCCAGTCTCCCCTTCAGGATGGCGTGGTCTCTGCAGCAGAGCCAGCTACTCCGGGAGAGATTTCAGCAGCAGTATAGTCTGCCCAGCCAGAGGAGCCCAGTCTGCCAGTCCCAACAGTCCTGTGGAATATATCTGTCCCTCATTCACAAAAACAGACACTCCCCACACATTCACGCAAACTGTTTTTGTTCTTTCACTCACACACTATCTTGCAGCTTGCCATCCCATTGGTAGCCATCTTGGATCTCCTGTAGTACAGCTTTTTTTATTCACTGATGGGCACTTGGGCTGCTTCTAAATCTTGGCTATTATAAATAATGTTCCAATGAACATTAGGGGTACATATATTCTTTTGAATTAGTGTTTTGGTTTTGTTTGAATATATTCCCGTAGGGGAATCTCAGGGTCACAAGGCAATTCCATTTTTAATTTTTTGAGGAAACTTCAGTCTGCTTTCCACAGTGGTTGTACTAATTGACATTCTCTCCAGCAGTGGGGTTCCCTTTCTCCACATTCACAGCAACACTCAGTTACTGATTTATTAATGATAGCCATTCTGATAAGGTGTGAGGTAGTATCTCTTTGTGGTTTTAATTTGCATTTTTTCTGATGATTAGTGACATTGAGCATCTTTTCATATGCCTATTGGTCATCTGTATGTTCTCTTTGGAGAAGTGGCTAGTCAGGTCTGCTGCCCACTATTTAATTGGGTTGTTTGTTTTTCTGATGTTAAATTGTCTGAGTTCCTTATAAATTTTGGATTTTAACCCTTTATCAGATGTATCATTGGAGAATATATACTCCTATTCAGTAGGTTGTCTTTTCATTTTGTTGATGGTTTCCTTTGATTTGTAAACCCTTTTTAGTTTAATGTAGTCCCATTTGTTTATTTATTTATTTTGGTTTCCCTTGCCTGAGGCAATATGCCAGTAAAAATATTGCTATGAGAAAAATCTGAGATTTTACTGCCTATATTTTCTCCTAGGAGTTTTATGGTTTTGAGACTTACATTTAAGTCATTAATCCATTCATGTGTATGGTGGAACAAGGTGGTCTTAAACAATTTTTTAGACTATAGAAATATTCAAATGTACACAAAACAGAGAGACTAGTAAAATGAACCCCCATGTACATTTAATCATCTTGATTTATTTATCCTAACATTTTCTTTGGTTTATTTGTTGTAATATTTTGAAGTACATTTATAAAAGTTACTTAACCTTAGTTCCCTCAACTTTAAAGTAGTAATTTGAACCACTGAATTCACCCTTTGCATGTTGAAACACTTGGTCTAGAACCAGGGACATGCAAGTTCTTTCTCCCTTTCTCCTTGACTCTGCCCTCCCAACCAGGTGTGTGCTTTTAATATCCAACCCATTAGCCCCAAGAGGCATAAGTGTGTCCTTTGAAGAAACTTATCAGGGCCTGGTCCTGTCTGTCTTCTCAGTGTGCCACTTATGGTGTGGTCAGCTATCACTCTTGACTGTCTCAGTGTATTAGAATATATATGAATAGTCAAATGGGTGGCCAAGTGCAAGCTACATGCAAATCCTCAGTCCTTCTGTAATGACTCCCTGGTTCATAGTGCAGTTATTTAAATACTCACTTGCACATATTTCTCAATGGTCTTAAGAACTTCCACGTTAAACTGCTTTACAGGAACAACTGAAAGGTCCATGTAGCTGAGCAGGCTGTAGATGACCTGGAGAAGGGGCTGCTGCATGCTCGGGAGGCCTTTCTCCAGCAACTGTGGGAGGCAAGGCACAGCCTCAGTCAGTTTGATGCCAAATTTTCACACAGAAGCACCAACCTTTTCCAATAGTTTTATGATTGCACATTTCCACAAGGAGAAACAAATCCTAACTACTGAAGAAATGAAGATATTATCAAGGGTCATGTAGGCAGATCTGAATATCTATATAAGCCTAAGCGACCATCCGACCATTTGACTGTTCACCTGGTAGCTATTATGTGCAATGACCACTGGGGGCAGACACTCAGACCAGTAGAGGAGGGAGCCCAATTCCTCATGGAATTGGCCATGGTTTAGGTTGCTGCTGGGGCACTGTTGGTCCCAAATCTGTTTACCCACACCCCAGACCCAGAGAGGTTCCTCAGCCTGGCTTGTGGGAATTGGGCTGAAACCAGTTCTCTGACATCCCCCAAGGGGTCCCGGATTGTGAGAGGACACAGGCCAGGTCGAGGGACCTCACTGGTGCACAAATCCGTGAACCAGGCCTCTAGTATAAATATAATAGTTACACAACAGAATGCAATAAAATAAACCTCAAAAGGAAAGCATCAAACACCATTAATTATAAATAAGTTATCAGTTATTGAATTGGCAAAGATTAGAAATTGATAATTAGTATTAGTGAGGATATACAGTAGGCATTCTTTCAGATTAGTGGATGTATAAATTGGATAGTTTGGCCATTGAGATCAAGGTACTAAAATAGCCCTAGTGCCGGTTTGGCTCAGTGGATAGAGCACTGGCCTGTGGACTGAAGGACCCTGGGTTTGATTCTGGTCAAGGGCACATGCCTATGTTGCTGGCTCGATCCCCAGTAGGTAGCATGTAGGAGGCAGCAGATCCATGATTCTCTCTATTCATTGATGTTTCTAGGTCTCTCTCCCTCTCCTTGCCTCTCTGAAATTAATAATATATATATGTATTAAAATGATTCAAATCTTTTGAAATAGTAATTACACTTTTAGGAACATTTCCAAACCTAGTGATAAATACTGAGATTTAAGTGTGAGGTTTCACCATGGCATTATTTATAATGGTGGGAACTCCCTCCCACCCTCCAAAAACAACAACAACAACAACACAAGAAAGCTCTGTAAACCATTTAAATGTTGACCACTAGGGAAACATATAAACAGATTATGGTGAATTGTATGATGACATCTCATGTAGTCAATAGGATGACATTTTAAAAGATAGTGCAGGACATCAGATGACATTAAGTGAAAGAGAAAGTATGTACTATAGAGTTGTATACCTGAAACCAATATAATTTTATCAACAAATGTCACTCCATAAACTCAATAAAAAAGAAAGAAGTTTAAATAACTAACTTCTCTGTAATAAGATGCCAGTTTTTTTAAAATATATTTTTATTGATATCAGAGAGGAAGGGAGAGGGAGAGAGAAAAACATCAATGATGAGAGAAAATCACTGATTGGCTGTTTCCTGTACGCCCCCTACTGGTGATCGAGCCTGCAACCAGGGAATGTGTCCTTGACCAGAATCAAAGCCAGTATCCTTCAGTCCGCAGGCTGACGCTCTATCCACTGAGCCAAAATGGCTAGGGCAAGATGCCAGTTTTGATGTGAATGTGTGTGTTATATAGAAATAACTTTGGAAAGAAATCCAACAAAATGTTACTAGCATTGCTCTCTAAATAATATAGTTATTGGATTTTTTTATCTTTTTATCTCTTTTAACTTATCTGTATCTTCCAAATGTTCTGCTTTAAACATATTCTGCTTTTATAATCAGAAAAATAATCAATATTTTCAAAAAGAAAAGCACAATAATGAGAAAATATATGTGACAGGCATCCTGATAAAAGGTTCAAAGTGAAGAATTAATAGAACTGATTCAAATAAATGCTAAAATTCCATATGAACAGTGGCCAAAAGAAATAACTGAGCAGTTAACACTTGAGGAAATACATTACTATGCAAACCTAGTGTGTGAAAAAATAAATATATACAGTATAAAGGAAATACACCAAGAGAATAATTTTAAAGTACCAGAAATAATATACAATAAATAGAATGATAAAGTTTAGTTGGGATGAGGGGAAACAAGAATATTTATACTCTGTAGTTCTGGAAATTGGGAAAATCTCTGGGAAGACCAATTTCCAAAATGTGTAGAACTAATAACATATCCACATATCCATACTCTTTACCTGGATAATTACTTTGGGAAATGCCACCAGAAGAAATGACCCAAATAATATCTGATAAAAAGTCTACATAAAAGGACCAGTTGTAATAGAAAAAAATTATGAACACAAACAACAAAAGGGAGATGGTTAAGCAAATTGTGTTACATTAACTTGATAGAATTCCACAGTTTTTCAAAGTGACACCAGGTGAGCTATGTCAGCACATAGACATACACACGCAGAGTCAATGTTCAGTGACCAGAGCAGGTTCAATGGAAATACTAACCACAACTACATAAAGTCATATGTATGTGCATGACCAACAGCTGTAAGAACATGTGAGTAATAGAAATAGGAATTATTATATATTATAAGTGGTGGGGTGCTAAATTCATAATAAAAATGTTGGTGACAATTTGTGATAAGGGCTGAAAAAAAATAGGCAATCCATTATTAATTTTTAAAATCCTCACCCATAGATATGCTTTTATTGATTTTAGGAGGAAGGGAGAGAAAGAAAGAGAAACATTGATGTGAGAGAGAAACATTAATTGATTGCTTCCCGTACATAACCTGACTTGGGACCAAACCTGATATGTAGGCACGTGCCCTGAGAGGGAATCAAATCAATAATCCTTTGGTCCATGGGACAACGCTCTAACCAACTGAGCTACACTGGTCAGGGCTACTTATTTTTTATCGTGGTAAAATATATATATATATATAACATTTACCATTTTAACTATTTTTAAGTGCACAAAGTACATTCACTTTGTTGTGCAGCCATCTCCACAATTTATTTCCAAAATTTGTTCACCATCCCAAATCTATACTAATAAAAGGCTACTATGCTAATTAGACTGGACATCTTCCAGACGGCCTTCTGGACAAAGCCATGGTGGCAGGGGCTGAGGCAGAGGTAGTTAGGGGTGATCAGGCCGGCAGGGGGGAGCAGTTAGGGGGCAATCAGGCTGGCAGGCAGAGGCGGTTAGGAGCCAGCAGTCTTGGATTGCAAGAGGGAAGTCTGCCTGCCACAGGGATCAGGCCTAAACCAGCAGTTGAACATCCCCTGAGGGGTCCTGAATGGGAGAGGGTGCAGGCTAGGCTGAGGGACCGACCCCCACTGCATGAATTTCATGCACCGGGCCTCTAGTCCTATCTAATAAAAGAGAAACATGGTAATTAGCCGTACCTCCGCTACCCTTCCCATTGGCTAATCAGGGCGATATGCAAATTAACTGCCAGCCAAGATGGCAGCCGGCAGCCAGGCAGCTTGAAGCGAACATGAGGCTTGCTTGCTTCAATGACCAAGAAAGCTATTGTTCCCTGCCTGCCGCTGCCAGCCTCGGTGAGCTTGCAGTTTGAAACATTGTTACAAATATAGAAGCTAAACAAACCCCCAGAAACCTGCTTTCAGCCAGCCGGGATCTCAGAGCTGGAGTTGAAACAGTGTTTTGATTATAGAACCCAAACAAACCAGATACCTGCTTTTAGCAGCCGAGGCCTCAGAGCTGCAGCCAAGCCTCAGAACTAAAGCTGGCCCAGAATAAAAAAAAAAAGGAAAAAAGCGGTTGGGAGCTTCAGTCACCTGCCAGCCTGAAAACAGCCCTCAGCCCCTCTCCTAGATTGTCCAGGCACCCCAGTGGGGACCCCCACACTGAAGGGGGTGTGACCAGTTGCAAACAGCTATCAGCCCCTCACCCAGGCTGACCAGGCACCCCAGCGGGACCCCCACCCTGATCCAGGACCCCCTTCAGGGCAAACCAGCCGGCCCCCACCCGTGCACCAGGCCTCTATCCTATATAGTAAAAGGGTGATATGCCTCCCGGCACCAGGATCAGAGTGACAGGGGGCAGCGCCCAAACCCCCTGATCGCCCTGCGGCTCTGTGTGTGACAGAGGGGAGCTCCCCACCCCCCTGATGGGCCCTGCTCTGTGCGTAACAGGTTATGGAGCCCCAACCCCCGTGACGGGCCCTGCTCTGTGTATGACGGGGTAGAGCCATAACCTCCCCATCGGTCCTGCCCTGAGTGTGACAGGGTGCGGTGCCCCAACCCCCTGATTCGCCCTGCTCTGTGTGTGAGAGGGGGTGTGCTCCAACTCTCCTATCAGCCTACTCTGTGAGTGACAGGGGGGAGCTCCTCAACCCCCTGATTGGCCCTGCTCTGTGTGTGACAGAGGGGAGCTCCCCAACCCCCTGATGGGCCCTGCTCTGTGTGTAACAGGTTATGGAGCCCCAAC